TGTACCTCCTCTGGTCTAGCCAGTCTTGCAAGATAGAATTCGAGTCATGGTAGTGGGAGCGGGGAGGAAACATTTAGGAACTAGAGGAAAGTGTATTTCTCATCATTGTTACATCGCACCCTGACTGGCATTTTCTACCATATCTAAGTGACCCTTTTTATTTCTAATATTATTCATGTATGACTTCTCTTTATTGTGTTAATTCTGTTAGAAGTCTGTCTTATTTGATGCGTCTGCTCAGAAAACTGGTTTTTGCTGTAGTTTGTCTGGTGGTGGTCTCTCTTCAGTCTTCGTTGATGCTCCTCTTTATTAGGTGCTTCGTTCTGCTGTTCTTGAGTTTACTCTGGTTCTTTTCTTACTTCTTGAGTTAGACATGGAACTCATTAGAGGTCAGCCTTTTCTGCTGGAAACATTGTAGATTATATATTTCTTCTAAGTACAGAATTTGCTCTACCCTAAGTTTGAAATTATAGCTTATTATTTTTTGGTGCTTGACATTCATTCGTTTAAAAATGGTTTTCATTAATGATGTTCTCCCTCGGTCTGTGAATGATCAGTCGTGTATTTTCCAGTGTCTGATTGAATGGGTTTTGAGGAGCTGCCTTTTGCGGTTGACTTCCAGTTGATTGTGTGGCCATCGAATGCGGTGTGTTAGAGGGCTTTTGAAGTATTGATTGAGATTGGCTTTGTGACCCTAATGCACATGGCCATTTTTATTAGTGTTCTTTGTCTACTCGACCAGATTGGATGTGTATTCTCCATTTGCTGGATGTAGGTTTTTCTGTCCATTTGGTCAGGCTTCTCAGTTGTGTTGTTGAGATCTTCTGTTCTCTTTTAATTGTTGCCTTCTTGAGCTAGAAGTTACTAGGAGAGGGGTATGTGGAATTCCACTGTGATGATCATGGGTTTGTTGACTGCTATTTGTTGGTTTGTGTTCTTTAGATATTTTGGAGTTATCTCCTAAAGAGAATCAGGTTCCAAATGGTTACCTTCCCTGGAGAATTGCTCCTGTTATATAACTTAGCCCTCTTTATCCCCAAACCTGTTTTCTGGTTTACGGTCTGTTTTGTCCAATGATTATACGGTTATGCCAGGTTTCATTTGGTTAACTTCCTAGTATATCTTTTCCCATTCGTTTACTTTCAACTTCTCTGTGTCATTAGGTTTTTGGTGTGTCTTTTGTAAACAGCAGATAGCTGGATTTTGTTTTCTTATCCTATGTAAGAATCTGTCTTTTAACTGGTGAGTTGTCTAGTCTTTTTATATTTCTTGTTATTACTGCTATGTTTGGATTGGTGTTGTTTAATTTTGTGCTATTTACCATGCAACTCTTTGTACCCTCCCCTCTAGGTGACTAGTGGAAAACAATTGGATTATCTTTATTCTTTTCTTCTTTTTACTGGGTTGGAGATTTTGTATGATGGTTCTCAAATGTGTAACTGTTCATTACCTATAATATATTAACAAGCATACCTGACTTAATAACATCTAAGGTTAGTCGTTCTCTCCATCTTTTTCTTGAACAATATGTTAGAATGTGTCTCTAAGCTTGCACTTAACTGTTGCCTATTATTTTAGTTTCTTATTGGTGTTATTCCCATACTAATGAATTTTACAGTAAACATCTCTCTTTATTTACATAGCAAGTGTTGGTTTTTTTTAAATTGCTTAAAAAAATCTCTTTTACTGGCTTTTCCAATGAATGTTAAGGAGTGGGAAAATGTCTTCAGTTCTTTCTTGGTCTCCAAATGGCTTTTTATAGTCTCCCTCCCGCTTGAATGTAATTTAGCTTACAGTCCTAAATCATACTAATCCCCTGGCCCTGGGTCACTTTAACAATTTTATTTATTTTTGCTTGCTTTTCTGTAGTTATTTAGGGAGAAGCTGTCAAAAGTCTAATTGCTCCTTTTGAACCGTCTTCCCTTGCTTTTAGGGTTTCCTCTCCATTTTTGGTGCTGTTCCGTTTCACTTTGCTGTGTCTGGGCACCTCTCGCTGGCTGGTGGATAGGCTCCAAGCCCCACGTTCACAGAGTGGTAACCCCTCAGAGGTCTCGGCTTTGTGCAGGAGTCTCCACTCCTGCTTCCCGAGGCTTCAGCTCCTGGCCCGGCATAGGCAGGGCTCGTAGCTCCCCCTTGCCATCTTATCACTTGACACGTGCTCATTCTTTCTTATGCGTTTTTTTTAAACCAAAGTTGTTTTATACATGTATAGAACATAAACACACACACACATGTTAAGATGTTGGTAGCTGAAGGGATTTCTTGCTGATCTGCTCCCCGCACTGTATCTGGAGCTGCATCCCGGCCGTGCTCTTGGTTGGTTCATGCCCACATAGCACGGAGCAGCATTGATCAGAATCACCCAGGGGTTCTCCGGTCTTAGGGCAACATTCACTGAGTCCTTTTGCTGCAGACTGCAGATCCTTCACCTTTTATTAAAGTTTCATCTTGATTTTCTGATTAGTGTGACATTTCTAACCCTGGATATTCTAGCCAAGTGTAAAACCCCAAACCAGACCCACTGCCATGGATGGAGCGGATTCCCACTTAGGTGGGGTATTTGGTTTTCCGGTGACATGCTGAGTGTCGATCATATTCTCATGGAGAAAGAAGCAAGTATCCCCTGCAGTGTTGGGAAAAGGAAACTGTCTTCTGAAAAGAAAAACTCCCAAGAGTCCCCTTAGAGCCTGTGTCTTCTTACCAGGTGCTTTCCTCACGGACCTGAGCTAGGTGTTGCTCCAGTACTCAGCCTTTGGTAGAAAAAACTGGAATTGAGAATATGAGTTAAGAGTTGCAGTGATTGCACTTAAAGCATAGAGTCTTTCTAACCGGGCTCTGAGTCCTTTGGTGAAGCCAGGGGTTCCCCCAGGGATTCGGTCGCTCCTGCTTGTGTTGCCTGCAGCAGCACTCTCACATTCATTCACTCCCAGTACGGTTTTCATCGTCCTAGGGGAATTGCACTTTCTGCTGCAAGCAGAAGAATCGTATTGTATCAGAGTGATTTTTATCATGTCACTCCGCTGGTGCTAAGTTAACAGTTGATCCTGGCTATATTAAAACTCAGCTCTTCAGCCTGTCATTCAAGACAGGGGAGTCCTGCAGCCCGCTGATAAAAGCCTAGCTGCTGCCATGTCACCTGGCATCTCATCACACCTCTCCTCTCCACTGTGGCTTGCCTCATTCATGCCTTCTCCTCTTTGTGCTTTTTGGCTTGTCTCCCAGGCCATGCCCATTATTTCCTTTTTCTTTCCGAAGGCCGTCCGGAGTTAATCTGCCCTTATTCTTGCTTTCTCCTGTCACCGTGTATAACTGGCGGCTACTGCCAGGCATTTACACTGCATTTTCTGTTCTGTGGTACATGCATAAAGTAACACCTCCACCTCCACCCCCCCCATGAGCTTGTGGACCATTGCTGTATTGTCCCAAGAAGGAAGGGAATAATAGTTCCTCTCCACACAAAACTGGCGCTGTCCCTGTAAAACTGAACTGGAACATGAATGCCCTCAGAGAGTTTTTACAATCTGGTTAGATAAAACTTCATGGGACAAGTAGCCCGTGGAATCTTTTGTAGCCAAATGCTAGACTATGGGCTGTTGCCTCTAAGTGCCGAGGAGTGAGAGAAATGTCATTGAATGTGTCATTTTGTGTTGTATGATTATAGAAGCCGAGAAGATTGCCCAGGTGGCAAAAATTCAATTTCAGCAGAAGGTGATGGAGAAGGAAACCGAAAAGCGCATTTCTGAAATTGAAGGTACGCTGGGAAGAGTGGAGAGAGAGTGTGTGTTCTGTGTGTGTGTGTGTGTGTGTGTGTGTGTGTGTGTGTGTGTGTGTTTCCAAGTCAAGAATAATCTGGCCTGATGGGTTCTTAACCGAAACATACATTGCCATTCAATCTGTATCACTTGGTTTGGGATTGTGGATTGCTTGGCCTTTTAGTGTCTTTCATGAAATTAGGGCTTGTTAGCTTTCATATGATTTCCAGGCAGTGTAGGAGTGTATGTATTATAGAGACTGCACCAGATAATAAAGCTCACCACCAGTTTACATCCACAACAGCAGTGAACTAGGGCGTGGGGGGAGGGAGAGGTAGAAGCCCAAGTTTTCACGGAGGGCATCGAACTCCTTGATTCCTTAGAGTGAGATGAAGAGGATCATGTCTTCAGCTCACAGGCAGTCTTGAAGACCAACCCCAAACCCTCCGCATCTGTGCTGCTGCTTCTGAGTGCTCTCCTCCACTGAGTCTGGACTCAGCCTTGGCTCAGCTTTCTTATTCTTGAAGCGTAGAGCTTGCATGAGGGGAGGGGAGGGAAGGAGGAAGAGAAAACGGAAATAAGCAACTCTGGGGGGAAGTGAAATGTCTCAGCTGAGCTGAGTGTTAATTCTGCAGTGACAGAAGAATCCCCCTTTGAGAAGGAGCTCAAGACTGGACTTTGGAAAGTGTTCATTTTGTTGTAAATTTACGAAGCCAGGTAAGCAGTCAACTTATCAGGCAGTGGAGAAAGGGACCTTTGTCTAAGCTAGCGTCTGAACTCTTACCCCACTGACTGAATGGGTTGACCACTAAACGGCTTTCTTCTAAACCCCCTGCCTCTGTTTTAGATGCTGCATTCTTGGCTCGAGAGAAGGCGAAAGCAGATGCTGAGTTTTATGCTGCACACAAATATGCCACCTCCAACAAGGTGACTGCTTCTCCGGGCCACTTACAGCTTAGGGAGAAGGCGAGTGCTGTCTCTGGGGAGCTGATATGTCAAGTGGGAAACTAGAACGAAGGCAAATGGATAGGTAGGCACAGACCTCACTCACTCCTAGTGCTCCCTAAAAGCTCAGTAATCCGTGGACTTGAGGGTCTTCACCTAAAATGACTAGACTCCCTTCCCAGGTAAGAGAGCTTTTTTGTGGTAGGTGTTAAGTTGGTTTAGAATACGCGTTTTTGCAGAGACGTTCTTGGCATTTTGGGGTGAGATGCTCTTTTAGTGTTGAAGGTGGTCTCATGTATTGTGGGTGGGGGGAGTATCTTGCACCATGCCCTGGTTCTTGCCCACTACATTTCAGTAGTGCTCGCCTATTGTTTCAGCCACAAAATCCCATCCCCTTCACATGCACATTTCCAAATGGCCACGGTTGAGAACTGCACGTTTATAGCCGATGATAAACAGCTTTGGGCATGAGACGTGGAAAGTGTGGGAACGTGAGGAAGGAGTTAGGGCCGGGGATGGGCATAGTGTGTGCTTAAGTAGTAGGGTAGGCTCTCTAGAGAAGCTAGATCTCGTGAACAGGAATCAGTTAGGAAAACCCCTACTGTATCCTGAGAAGGGGAGGGTATGAGCAAGCGTTAGAGGCTGATTATTTCTAGTGTAGATTGGAACAGAGAACAGATTGAGATAGAAGTTGCTAGTGTGTACTACAGAGGTCGAAGACTTAGAGTCAGGATATAAGGTGTAAGGCAGGGCTGACACGCTTTCTATTGAGAACAGCATGGTCCAGATCCAGGAGAAGTGATTAGACTTGGTAGATAGACAGGCTGAGATGTGTCTATTTTCAAAACAGCTAGAAATACACTTATCATCTTGAAACAATGGAGTTTGGCCAAGATGAAGGCAAGATGGGAAAATTGCATTTATAAAACTAGCGGTCTAAATCGATAATGGGAGGAGCTGGCCGTGCACAAGTTTCTATACCCTGCCGTTGAAGTCAACCCTCCACCACTGCGAAGAGTGCCACTCGCTTATCGGCCTTTATTTTTAAAAAGTACCTGGATGCTTTGTGCAGTGACCAGATTTGGTGACAGTGTTTTGATAGGGGGTCTGAATTCACCTGGAAGGAGGAGAGGTGGAGATCCCAGGCATCGCAGATGTTGGGGTACAGAAAATAGGTATTTGGAACTGTGGAATGATCATTCGCATAGCAGACAACCTGGGCCTTCAGGGGGAGAGGGCATCGCCAGGTGAAATCCTAAGGGCCTTCTGGGGGTTGGGTCTTTATCCTAGGAAACACTGAAAAGGGGCCATTATTGGAGATTTGGGTGGCTTTCTCCTGGCAGCAGGCTTAAAAGTGGACACGGCAACTCGGGAGAGATGGGACCCTGAAGGAAGGTGGCTGACCAGCATGGCCTGTTGCTCACCGGGGGTACAGGCAGCTGCTGAGAACAGCTAGGAGGGCAGACCAGGTGGTTGATGGCCTGAGACCTTTTACAGGTTTAGAATCTGGTCAGGAAAGGCAGAGCAAGGTGGCTGTTTATATGAGCTCAGGGAACTCAAAGGCCATTCATTGGGTTGCTCATGTTAAAAGGTAATTGGAAACTACCAGACTTCGAGAGAAACGTAAGGGGGGTGGGCATTTATTTTGATTACTCTAGAATAAGACACTACAGAGCCTGGGGATGTGCTGTCTGGTGAGCATTAAGCTGCTGACTGCAAGCTTGGTCCAAAACCCACCAGCTGCTCCACCGAAAGAAAGCAGCTCAGGCCATCTGTGCCCGGCAAGGCTGACAGCTTTGGAAACCCTGGGTGGGGCCACTTTGAGTTGGAACCAACTGGGTGGCAGTGGGTTTGGTTTGGATTTTTTGGTTTTAATCCATCACAGTCCCATCCTTTGGAGTTCTCTCACCCAGGTGACTTGGTTATCTCTCTCTGAATCAGAGCTCCCACCCAGATTCCAGGCTGAATTCTAATAGATGAAATAGAGTGTTGTCTAGGCTCAAAAGCCCCGCAGAAATGTTAGTCGTTGTCATTAATTGTCTCGAACTCCCTTAGTCTTTATAGTCTGTGGTTAAGACAAGACTGGCACTAAGGGAGCATCCTTGGTACTGTCAGTGGCACCCTCCAGAGAGAGGTCATTGGTAGCTGTTCCCAGTTGAGAGCGATACTTGGAAGAGGCGTAGGAAAAAAGGATGGAGGGAACTCAAATGGTGACCATTGCACTGAAGTGTCCTGATGCCTGTGCCCCTGTTTGCCCCCACACAGCACAAATTGACCCCGGAGTACCTGGAGCTCAAAAAGTACCAGGCCATCGCTTCGAACAGTAAGATCTACTTTGGCAGCAACATCCCTAGCATGCTTGTGGACTCCTCCTGCGCTCTGAAAGGCTCCGATGTCGGGACTGGAAGAGACCGCGCTCTCCTCTCTCAGGAGGCCCTGGAACCCTCGGGAAAGAACCCCATCCCAAACACAAAGAGTGCAGGTTGATGCAGGAGGTGGAAACGTTCTCCCCTCCCAAGCTGGGGCCCAAGGGGTGAGGTGGGAACAATGGCTATACCGACTCTTCAGGTTTACAGGCTCTGCCGCCTCTTCTGTGATAACCCTGGCACCTCGGCTGGTGGTGGCGTGGAGCTAGCTGGCGGGCGCTCAGGGGGTCTCCTTCTCAGCTGCAGTTTTGTCAAGTACCCTTTACCTGTTTCTTTCCCAAACAGTACTGGTCAGTGAGGGAGTGCCCGACGCTAAGATACTGCCTGCACTGGAATGTTAAGTACTAAATAGCTAACAAATTGTGTTTTTCTACGCTGAGGTCTATTGAATAATGTTTACATTGGCCCCTGGGGAATGGTGTGCTCAGCAAGTCGAGAGCTGGGCGGCCAAGGGTAAAGGAGAGCGAGGGCACCCCGGACTCTTCTGGGCTCCTGGGCTGCCCATGTCTAGGCCTGAGCTTGCCCAGGAAATGAGCTTCCACTGAGCGACCATTTACTTGACAACAATTTGCACCTTTCTGCAGTCAGGTTGGTGGCCTGCCGGGCCACGTACCTTGCCACCCAACCAGAGTTGGTTTGTTGAGATTGCTAGCCACAAGTTTACTGCATCTGTAGGCTCAGGAGGGCTTGATTGGAAGCACTGGGCAGGCCAAAGCCTTTTGCCCATGGCTTTGCCCCCGCACTGTCCAGAGCTGCCCGGTTTTGAGCCACAGAGAGCTCCTTCCGAGACACCTCTCGGCTCTGGCTTTCACCAGAAATAGGGGCAGTGCACGATTCCTCGCCACTCACTGCACAGTATTGTAGCAAAACTGCAGGAAATGCTTACTTTGAAAACTGGATTCGGGGTACCCTCGCTTGCCCCAGCACTTCTGCCTGAAGGCCAGGTTCCCCGTGTTGCCGTGCTTACAGCACACTGATTGTCGTTCTTCCTGTTCTTCATCAGGATCCCCTCCCCCCAAGCCACCCACCCCCCCCCATGAGAAGAAGGCTCTGTAGAAAGCACCCTTCCTTAGTCATTTCTGTCTTCCTGCCGTGCCCTCAGATGCTGAAATCAAAGTTGTTTCCCCAACTCTGGCCTTCCCTGGGTGCTCCGTGGATGCAGTTTCCTAAACAGGTAGAAGAGCGGGCTTGGGGCTATAGGAGAGCTGGTTCTTCAGGACCCTTTCAAACTCTGATGATGGACTCTCCTGACTGCGACTCTGTACTTAGAATAAGAAGACATGTGTGACCTTGGCAGAGCCGACAGAAGTCCTGGCTGTGGGACTGCTTCCCAAAGCCCCACGGCATGCCAGCCCATCCACCTGCTGACTGCTGGGGACTGTGCCAACGAGGAGGGAAGCCCCAGGCCCGAATGGGCCCTTGTAGCTGGGCTTTACGCTTCAGAGGCATTGGTCAAGGAGAGATTCCCCCCCCCCCCTATTTTTCTCAATTACATAGATTTCTGTGTGAATGAATGTTGTGTTCTTCAGCCCTCCTTAAAAGAACTTTGGAGCGATGCACACTTGTTCACTGTCATATTGTTGCTGCAGAGAAGTGGTGCTGGTGCTGGTGGGGAAGGCTGGGTCCGCGGCGGCGGGTGTGCTTTCCCTCTCCTGGCACGGTTCCCTGTTTCCTCCAACAGCTGCCGCGGCCGCCCCAGAGTGGTGGGAGGGGGGTTTTCTCACAAGCCAGAAGCCCTGGGGTCAGAGGTGAGGGGCAGGGAAATGCCATTGTGAAGTTTTGCAGAAAGAGAGTCCCCTCCCAGTGTGCTTCCCTGTGCTCACGCAGTGGGCCGGCCTGTCCCTCCTTCAGGGATGTTCCTTATGGCAAATACACACTGTAATCTTGAAGTCTAAATTTATATGTGAAATGCTACCTTTTTTAAAATAAGAAACTGAATAAAACTATTTTACTATCATTGATCTGTGTCTCCGTCGTGTGCTGCTATCTGATGCTCCATCAGTTTGTCATACCACCCAGCTCACCTCTTGCTGGGATACTGGAAGCTTCGCCGCTGATGTTTGAAATACTGACAGGCTCTCCCAGGTTTCAGTGACGACTCCAGATTCCGATGAGGACAGCGGCCTGGGGACTGCTTCTGAACATGAAGGGAGCCCTGTGGAGCACAGCAGAATCTTGTCCAGCGGTGGTGGGCAGGGAGCCCCTGGTTAGAAGGCCGTCGATGCACAGGGGCTGCAATAGGGGCAGGCGGCACAGGACCAGGCGGGCAGCGTCATTCTTCTGTTGGGCCTATGGCCATGTGTTGGATTCACCTCTCCTTCTACAATAGTGTCTTGCCCGTTTCAATTAAGTGGCCATTTTATTTGACAGTGCATAGCAACTAGAAGTTTATGTACTTGTCCCTGAATAATTTTTTTTTAACGTTGAAAATGGGGTTTCCAATCTTTCCTGACTCATGGAATGGTACAAGGGATGCTCTTCTACTTTGTGGGACAAGCAGCAGAGGAGAGAAGAGAGGAAAAAGCACCGTGCCCCTTGGACCTGAGACCTGGAATACTTACATGGAGGAAGGAAGACAAAACAAACGGAAAACCACTGCAGACTCAGGACGGGGTAGAGCTGCCTCTGGGTTTCCCAGACGATTTATGGGAGCAGCCCAATGCGGAACTCACTGCACCTCCGGGAAGGAAGGCGCTAGTAATCCCCAGGTGGAGGAAGAGCTTTAACTGGCGGAGGTGTGAACTAACGATTCGCTAATTCATCCGGGCTGGATCTGCATTCTCTCCTAGGGACAAGCTCACAGTAATGTTGGAGCAGTAGGCGGTCATTAGAGTAGGGGGAAAGCAGCCCCTTTACGCAATATTCCTTTGGGACCCAAGCCTGTAGCTGGTGGAGATCAGAGAAATTTCATTCGAAACCGTTACCTTATAAGTGTTTGCTAGATGTTAAAATGTTTCTAGAAAACAGTGTGGCAGTTGCTCAAAATGTTAGAGTTACCATATAAACTGAAAAAATAAAATTTGCATCAAATCACTGCCGACTCAAAGCGAACCCTGTAGGACAGGGTAGAACTGCCCCTGTGGGTTTCTAAGAAAGCCCCATCTTCTCCGGGGTAGCGGCAGGTGGTTTTAAACTGATGACCTTAGGTCACTATCATGACCCAGCAATTCCACTCCTAAGTGTACCCAAAAGACTGAACGCAGGGACACAGCTCAGCTCTTCAAGCTAACTGATCTTTGCCCAACACTTGGCACTGGTCTTGAGTTGCCCAGGGAAACAACCTGTGACCTATGTGTATAAGAAAACTTTAGAACAAGAAGGCATCCCCGCCCTGTTAGCCTTTGGCCATGACGCCCTCTGCAGACTCCAGGGGGCATCACCAGGGTACCACCTGATTGACAGGTTGAACTCCACCTCTACTTCCACACAAGGACCAGCCAGAGCGGTTCTAACAAGGTCACTACCAGTCTGAATCAACTCAGTGGTGACGGGCTTTTAGTTAAATGTCCTCTGGGCCTACAAGTCTCTGTTGCTTTGCGCACTTCCATCAAGCCCCTTTGACTCCTAGTGACCCCATAGGGCAAAGTAGGACTATCCCCACTCAGACCTCTCGGTTTCTGGGGCTAAATCTTCATGGGAGTAAAAAGCTTCATTTTTCTCCCAAAGAATGGCTGGTGAGTTCAAACTGCTGGCCTTGTGATTAGCAACCCACTGCCCAGCGTAATTCCCACTATGTCACCAAGGGTGCCCTTGCGCTGGTTTGAGGAAGGAGCAGTTGAAAACTCGAGTCGACAACAGCAAAGGGGTTTTAGCATTTTTACTAAGGGAGAAACACAATTGAGTGATGGAACTGGGGACATTGAAAAGGGCACCCCCCTGATTAAAAAGGAGAGGTGACTCACTTCGTGCTAACTGCTGCTAAGCTGAAACATGACTCATTATAGCTAGTTAGTCCAATTTGTCAAGAGAATCCCCAAATCCAGTTATTTATCTGTCACCTTCCAACTTTCGTTGCCAGTTCGCTAAAAATACATACAACCTGGACCAAGCCAAGCTTGCCTGCGGCCGGAATGGACGCTGGCCTCGCAGTCTGGCTAGATGTCTTCTTTGCTTGTGGAATCTTAATCGTCGCGGGTTCAAATAAATGGCAGCCACTCTAGTACCTTGACATTTACAAGAGTCTATTCGGTTAACCGGACTGCAAGAATCTAAAGTGATTCTTTACCTTGCAGTACTGAGTGCAGATAATAGACAGCTTATGTGGGCAAAAAACCCACTGATCAGGAAGTTTCCTATACAGCGAGCAGGTCTGACAAAATCAGAAAGCAAAATTAATGTTTTCATTCTTTAAGTAAGTGTTGCAGGGTACAGGATTGATTATAACATCAAAAAGGAACATTATTAAAGAATCAAAAAATTAATCACATTAGGATTACAGCGTCAAAAGGAACAATGTGAAGAATAACGAGATCGATTACAATGTCCTGGTCTTGGGAACGTAAGAGTACATTCTAGAATCAATCACTAGTGGGACTTCCAAGAAAGAAGGGGAGTGGCAGAACACCCAGCTGTTGGCAAAATGGGGTTTCTTTGACTAGTGCTAGTCTGTCTCCCAATGAGAAATTTGTAAAATGTGAAAAAGCAATGTACTTGCCCCTTTAAAAGTTGACCAGGGAGCAGAAAAGAGAACGCTTTTTAATATTTAACCATCCAAAGTCCCCTTTAGAAGAAGGAAAAAGAAATAAAGATGCCATTTCCTTTTTTCATTCAGTCTTATTTTGAAATCTACACATGTTGAGCTATACATATGAGGGAGAGGGGCCTTAATAATATATAAAAGAGGGAGAACCGATCACAATGACTGATGTACAATCCGACCCTCAACCCCCTAGGGGGACAAACAGCAGAAACATGGGTGAAGGGAGACAGTGGACAGTGTAAAATATGAAAATTAAAATAATTTATAAACTATCAAGGGTTCACAACGGTGAGAGGGTGGGGAAGGAAGGGGAAAAAAGAGCTGATACCAAAGGCTCAAGTAGAAAAAATATTTTGGAAATGATGGCAACATATGCACAAGTGTGCTTGATACAATGAATGTGTGGATTGTTATAAGAGCTGTAAGAGCCCCCAGTAAAATTACTTAGTAAAATTTTTTAAAAATTGTAAATAAACTTGACACTGAATCCCTTTTTTAAAAAAAAAAAGTGACAAAAGTTACTACCTTTCAATTCAATTTTCCACGAACTTTTTTATGTCCCCTTTTATCTGCTAACCCCAAGGTCGGCAGTTCAAAACCACCATCAAGAGTCTCAGAATTCCACAGAAGCAGTTCTACCCTGTCCGGTAGGATCACTAAGGATTTGAAACTGTCTCAGCAGCAGTGGGTTTGTTTGTTTACTTTGATATCTGAGCTAGGTATATAACATCATGATACATGGAGGAAAACCTGGTCAGATTTCATTTTTTTCTTTTTCAGATTTCATTTTAGGTGGATCAATAACCAATGTCCATGGACGCAGTGGTCAAGACATTGAATGAGGTCTGGCATTGGGAAAATCCACTGCCAAGGCTTCGGTAAACCTCTCCAAGTCAAAAGAGGTCGCTTTAATGACGAAGATGACCGACTCAAGTTGCCTCACATGCATGCAAACGCTGGACAGAGGAAGAAGTTGCAGGTTTGAATTGTGTTGGTGAAGCATGTTGAATATACCGTGGAATGCCAGAAGTAAGAAGTCAGTTGTAGGAAAAATATAAGTGGTAGATTCGCTAGAAGCAAGAATGGTGAGGCTTCTTTTTCCCTTGCTTTGGATTCATCTTAAGGTAAGGAGAAGAAGAAAAAAACTCTAGGAAAAAGATATCCTGTTTGGGAAAGTAGAAAAACCAGAAACCAAACTTACTGCCATCAAATCAATTCCAACTCAGATAAAGACCCTGACTGGAGGACATGCCTAGAGAACGAAAATCAGACCTTGATCTATGTCTTTTAATTGGTTGTTTTATGGGTCATTGGTTTTTTTGTAGTCATCGCTGTGTTCTCATTTGTCACCTCTCTTGCTATGGCTTGATTTTTGGTGCATATTATTATCTCTACAGATCTATCAAGATAGCTGGAAGAATAGTCTGGAGGAGAAAACAATGGAACCAATGGTTC